CAGTTATTATGCTTAAGTAAATTTCATTTGCTTAAATCCGAGGCTTAAACAATTATTATGCTTAAGTAAAGTTCATTTGCTTAAGTCCGAGGTTCATTTGCTTAAGTCCAAGGCTTAAACAGTTATTATGCTTAAGTAAAGTTCATTTGCTTAGGTCCGAGGTTCATTTGCTTAAGTCCGAGGTTCAATCCAGTTGTTTAAAGTGATTGAAGTTAAGGTACCAAGTTAGAGTTATTTAGTTGGTGCTGCTGTCAACCTTTAAGTTCATTTGCTTAAACGAGGTGCGTACACTTGATAAAGAAACAACAATGAATGAAATAGGCTTTATATTAATCTTCAAAAAAGATTACAAAAGTGGGCCTCAGGCCATTACATTCGAAAAATACTGAAAAGAAAACTAATCTAAGCTTGGGTAGATGGGGGAGGTGCTTCTGTACTTGGGGCTTCGACAGCTTGAGCATCGGCATTTGTCTCCCCCACCTCAGCTGCTTCATTACCATGCACGTCCTCAACAGGGGTCTAAGGTACCTCATCCACGAATTCAGACCTGAGTTGTGTCAGATCCAAATTGGGATACAGTTCCTCTGCCCGCTCCATCACCTCAGCATAGGTAAAGTTTCTCCAGTATGCATTGAAGCTCTTATACTCGTCTGTGTTGTGGAAGTTGGCAATGTACTCTTGCACCGCCTCTTCCCTCGCCTGTTGGGCCTCCTCTCTGGCATGGGATGCATCATCCACATACCATTTGAGTTGGGTTTCCAAGAACCAGTTAGCCTCTTAGGCACCCACCAAGGAGAGATTTGCCTTCTCCAGGGCCTCGGCGGTCACTTTCTGGTGCTCACTGGAGACTTCCACCTTCTTTGTCAGGGAGGCCACCTCGCACTGTGACTCATGGACTTCCTTCTTCTAGGCCTCAATCTGGGCCAAGGCAGACTCAAGCTTGGCCATTTCTTCAAGTTTTTGGACCCTGGCTTCTTCCGCTTCGGCCCTAGCCGCCTTCAACTCCTCTACAAGGGAGGTCATCTTCTCTTCCGAAGACTGGGTTCTCGTCTGAAAATCACTCAAGGCCTCCCTGCATTCAAGAGCGAGGCCGAAAATTCTGACGCTTTGGCTCACCAAAGCCCTCGTCAGGTCGGTGGCATCGTAGGAGGAAGCATGCAGCTGCCACCTGTCCGTCCAGAATCGGTAAAAATTCTCCATGGCGCTTCGGACCTCCTGGGGAAGAGCCTCCACCAAGGCTGGGGCCAAGGTCTCCTCCCTTCCAGCTAGGGAGCTTGGAGACTTCCCCTTTTCTCGAACAGGCTTTTGTTTGGCTGCCTCCTCTTTGGCAACCTCGGCAGCCCTCCTCACAGCCTCCTCAGCCTTAACCTCTCTGACCTTTTCTAACTTGATGGCTTTGGAGGCGGATGCGAGCAGCTTTGGCTCGCCTGTGGATTTGGCCTCATGGGACACTGATGTCCCAAATTTCCCGGACGAGCTGGTAACGTGCACCAGCTTCCTCCTCTTCGTCTCCTCTGGGACCTTCTCTTTCCCTCGAGGCTCTTTTGGCCTCTCCTGCCTTTGGGAAGCTCCCTCTTTGGGAGTCTTTGGGGTGCTGTCCTTGGAAAGGCGTTCCACCTTGCCTCGGACCTCCTTGGCCCCACTAGACCCCGGCTTCAAGGCCCTAGCCTTGGCGGTGGTGGTGGCTTTTATAATTGTAGCCATGTCTGGAGCTGGGTACTCCCTCCTCTTGAATTTATCTGCATAAAAGCGTCAGGTCAGCACATCAATATCCAATAAAAAACACAAGGAAATTTACAACTATGGGGGCCTCGTACCTCTAGAAGCCATTAGTCCAAAATCCAGAAAATAGCGACTCCTGTCGATCAGATGGTCAAAGCGGCGGAGCTTCAGAGGCCTCTTGTAGATGTCCTCTATCACCTCGAACTCTTCCCTGCTGACTCGAACCTCGTACTACAATCTGTAATGGAAGCTCCAACAGTTAGAAATTTTCTAAGTGTTCAATTCAGAAGTACAAGCAGGGGCTAGGAGACTTACGAGCTTCGTAGTACTGGATCGGCACTGTGCAAGAAAAGGCCTTGTCTCCCTTCACTGCCTGCCATTTCCCCGCACCCAGAACCAGGACTCCTTCCACCCCTTAATGGAGGAAGGCAGTCCCACCACAAAGGGTGCGTGAGCCCCCCAAATTGTAAGATAATACCACCCCCTGGACTCCTTCCCTATGATCCGGGGCTGAAAAAGAGTCATGAATACATGGAGAGGCATGTCCTCCCCAAGTGACACCTCCTTCCACAGGAAGTATGAGCCGACCAACTGGCTCCATCCATTTGGCAGAACCTGGATCGGCGACAACATAAAATTCCTCAGCACAGCCCTAAAGAAGGGGTGCAGAGGAAGACGCATACCTGCCTTAAACAGATATTCACTGACAGCCACGCATCCGGACCTCGGATAGCAGGATCGCTCATTTGGCTCGGGAACTAGCATCTCTATGGTGTGGGAGACACTGTATCTCTCCCTGATCTCCCCTAACCTCTTCCACGTCATACTTGAGGGCACCCTAAACACCCTCCACTCTTCAGTATAATCTACTAGGTCTTCGGTCATGGCATAACTATCAGTCTCGGCATCCCCCCTCTGACTGACCTCATAATCTAACGACGCAACCGTCACCAACTCCCTACCCGAGGTGGACTCTATCTCACAGAATTAATACAACAAAAATAAGGTTTTTCTGCGAATGATACCTAAGGGAAGAGCACTACGAACGGAGATAAGCCGGAAAATCAAAAAACGGGCAGCCTTGACGCCGGAAAGTTCAGGAATTTGAGAGAGAATCAACTTGCAAAGTTTCAAAAGTCCTAAAAAATGAGATTTTCTTGCCCTTTATAGAGGTCCAAAACGAACCCCAGCCGTTAGATCGAAACTCAGTCAATCTGAACCCTCCATTGTGGATCAAATCCGGGGCGTTGAATTCAAACGGTTTTTCTAACCTACGCCTCCGATTCAAACGTGCCTCCCACGCACCCCATCCAACGCGTCTGCTTCTAGAACCTCCAGCTGTCCTCATAATTGTGCTTTTAATTAGACGGCAGCAGGAGCCTTGGAAGTCGTACGGGTCTGCTGCTTTTCCTCGAAAATAAGCACAAAATATCAAATCATTGGCACAGCTATCGACGAACTCGGCTTCCTCTTCAACGTTCAGCCAACAAGCCTCGTAGGTTCGGTTTCCCAACCACCTCGGCTTCTTTTTCAACGTTCAGCCAACAAGCCTCGCAGGTTCGGTTTCCCAACCACCTCGGCTTCCTCTTCAACGCAGCCTCGGTCTTTTCATCATTCACCTACAGCAACACATCTCTAACTCCAACCATGATATAAATATCTATATTTAGACTTGGGGGACTATTAATTGGGGTTAAAAAATTCTTTCAATTTTTACTTCATTAAAGTCCACTCATTACATAAATGGCCATACTTGGACTTGGGGGACTATTGTTGCGCAACCTACTTGGGCCAATGGCCCACTCAGGCCGAACCACGTGGCACTCCAGCCGAGGTGGCATATATTGCCGGGGTGGGCTATGGCCGAAGCCCTTCAAGCCGAAGTCCATTAGCCGAGGCGCCTTTTACCGAGGCCTGTGAATGTAACCGAGGTCCACATGCTGAGGCCTATGAGCCGAAGCCATGATGCTGAAGCTTGTTGAAGTTAGCTGAAGCCCTCAAGTGGAAGTATTGTATGAAATGGTTGAAGCCCCGAAACTAATGCAAGAGCCTCCGAACCACAAGGGAGCATCCTCCATGGTCACTTCTTCCAAGAGATCGTCTGCACAAAGATCTTATTCGAATAATTGATGGAACGTTTGTCATAAGCATAAAGGTCAAGTTTTGTCACTAGTATGGAGGCTCTGCACAAGCAATAAATGCGCAGCAAGCTAGCAAGTCAAGCCCCATGCCTAGGATAAGATGTTTGAATCAAAGAGATGAGGCCACGTGCCACCTCATCCAAGGGCTCCCATTTCACATGTATCACTATAAATACTTCCCTTGTGTAACATCAAAAGGCTAATGCAAGAATCAATACAAAAAACTACACTTTATTCAACTCTCTTTCTCTCTCATTTACTTGCAATATACAAATCGAGTTTACACATATTTACATATACATTTACGAATACCAGTTGGTAATTATTGTACAATTGGATCACGAACAACCCGTCGGATTCCGAACGTCACCGTCCCGCGTATTTGGGCTACTCCCACGCCCTTTGTATCGCTTGTTGTAGACCGTCCACGTGTCATAGCGTGTTGGACATTCGTCTACGTGTGCGTGGGTGGGACCGATATCTGTTGGCAACACTTTTTGGGGTCAACAATGGGATTAGAATTTTCAAAAATATAATACGAGCAAAGATTAATGAATAAGTAACTATAGATCAATAAAACATTATACTTGTCCCATAGTGAATAAAGGTACTATGATAACACATAGTTAATATTTGTCTTTAATTCCAAATTTTCTCGATTTATTAAATTTGGATTAGATCAAATGTTCCTCTCTTGAGCTTAATTTTTTTTTTAAAAACAATTTAATATAGATAAATACTTGTAATTTGAATTAAGCCCTTGTTTGAGCCCCATTCTTCTCATAAGAATACATTTTTGAATAGTGTATTGATGAGAAATGTATGGTTAAAAAATAAAAAAAAAATTTAAATTTGTATGTAATATTATTTTATTAAAAAATATATGATTAAAATGATATCAAAATACTATTTAAGAATGTATTTTTTTAAAATCACGTTACTCAAACGGGAAAAATTGGAGAGAGAGACTCATAGACAACATTAAAAAATAAAAAATAAAATGAAGCCTTTTGTTCAAAATGAGCATATGAGAACGCTGCGATGTTAAGGACACGTGGCGAGCCATAATCCCAAATTTTCTTAGTTAGAAAATGTGTTGCATGAATTGGCATTACACGTGTGACTCAAGTGTGACTCTTCTCTCATTTCTGTCTCTTTCTTCAAGTGCAAGGTATCTGTTCGCATTCCCCAAACTCAAAATCTATATCAGAAGTGTTAATTTGTAGCAAATGGAATACAAACAAATATGGATACCATGCTTTGTGATGGTCAAATGGTGATGTATAAGTTGGAGGCTGCCGAAGCTATGGCTTCGAACTCCACCGTGCGCGGCGGCGCTTTGGGTTCCAGACGACAGAGTCAGCGAGGGAAGACTGAGATTTCCTCTCTTGAGGTTTTTAACCGGTCTTTCATAGTGAAAAGGAGATTTTGCATGGTGTTTTGTTGAATATGTTGTTTGTCTTAAGGTTACTTACTGAATAGGCACATATTTTTGCGTTAAATTCCTTTTCTGACAATTCCACAAAAATTACACATTCATCCACGAATTGGGATCTTAACAAGAAGTTAAAATCTTATCTTGTTTATTATGTTGATAAACTTCCAGTATTTGCTAAAAAAGCACATAGGGTCCGTTTGGTAGAGCTTCTCCTGCTCGTAGAGGAGCTTATTTGAGTGGGTTTCTCTTGATTGAATATCAAAAAAGAAGACCTTCCCCTTTGTGCTTAGATAGGTCTAGGTAAGGTATGTCTCAGCGTGGCTTAATATGATATGGAGGTACGATACTCATTTCCTGAAATCTTTGTTATCAAAAGATGTGTGGTTTATAAGTAGGAAGATGAGGAGGTAATGGTCGAAGGAGGTTGAATTTTTTTCATTCGCTCTATAAGGTATCTTGTCTCCTCCAGCTTGTCTGGTTAATGGGGTTCTCTCTTTAAAGATTCAAGAAGTAACTCCGCTTTCTGGGATGGAGAAGTGTCGGTTTTTCATGAGAGGAAAATGAGCTTTGCTCCTCCGGGTGCTAGGAGCTCCAGTCCTTCGCGAGAAAGTAAAGGGACATCTTAAGGCAGCTACTTAAAATCAATTTCTTCTAAATAGATAAATTACTTTCAGAAAATTATCCGAACACATTCAAAAACAGCTTTTTAGTCTCACAAGCAACTTTTGAGTTTTCAAAAACCTTGCCAACAGGACGTTAAGTTGTATGGTTATAAAGCGGAATAAGAAAATACTTGATAGTGCATTAAATGGTTGGCAATACTGTATTAACTATTTATTAATTCTTCAGGAACTATATATTTCTGTTGGTATTTGTTTCTGGGAAGTGGGAATTTGAGGCCACTATGCAGATTCTGACCAGTGATCTGTTCTATTACATAAGCAAGACAATTTCATTCAATTAAATATATGCAGGATGCTATTTTTCACAACAACGTCACGTCACCCTAGCTACTTTGTGCAGGGCTTGAGCTGAAGGAGTAATTCTGGCTGCATTGTCTGGTTTTGAGGTGGTTTGGCTTGGGCTGGCATGTGGAATCTGTGCTTTTCATAAAATTTTGTTTGCATTAGTTGTTTTGATAAATACCGAGGTCAGCATGGCTCAGCTCGAGAGCAATGTTTGTGTAGTAGGACAGAACATACACTTTCTTTGTTAGTGAACTCTGTAATGACTGAGTAAGGAGTTGAAACTACATCCCATCAAAACATATCCAGTCTAAGAACATTTTGTCTCTCTCTTTGATTTTATCACATTATATGTTTCTTTATTCAATCTTGTTATGCCAATCAGGCTGAGAAGGAAGCACAAAGGCGGCATCGTATCTTAGCAAATAGAGAGTTTGCTAGGAAGACAATTCGCCGGAGAGAGGTGAGCTTTGTCTACCATCCAGTCAAATATTATTCTTATAGATCTAATATTCATTCATCGATGTATAAGTTAATAACTATTAATCATGGATGTTTAGCTCATGTCATTCGAGACACTTTTTATCCCCATGATCCACAAATACTACCTACTTGTCACAATTCATTTTTATCTATTTATAATTGAAACCGTTTATAAATAACTTCCCAAACATGAAAATGCACTTATCTTATGTTCGGAAAATAAGAGATACGAAGGCAGTGGGGGATTTAGGAATCTAAGTGAGCACATACGGCTATCTAGAGGCCACCTCAATATAAGGAAAAAAAAATTCCGACGGACCCAACACGGGCAACTTCAGGGGCTTGTCAGGTATTGGCTTCGCCCTTGTACGAAGGGCATATTGATGCTAATGGATTCAATGCTTGGATATTATGACAAATAAAACATACATTTTTAGTGGTCATTTCGTTATTTTGAATGTGATATCACGCAGTTGTTTATATATATGTATTTGTCGACGCAGAGGTAAAAATGCTTCCCTGAGATTAAGATCTTCGAGATGTGAACAAAGTAGTTGAAAGTAAATTTAATTTTGTATTATTTCAATGGATGTAAAAGCAAACCAGGAAAAAAAGATTCATGGGTGCGTTTACAGATGTTAGCAAACTACCTCCAAATGAGGCTAAATAAGCAAGTTTTGACAGACAACTTATTTTGTTTCCAACTGCTTAAGAATTTTCGGAGTTTTTAGATTTTCACCTATAGAATTTGTGTTCTTCTCTTCAGCCTACCCTGATCCACCCTTCATTTGTGAAGATTAAAAATACTGAGAATTGAGAAAATGTCTTGTATAAAGTTTATAAATATCTTCACTCATTATATTTTTCTTTCCTTTGATTAGGCTACTTACGCAGAATTAAACAGAAAAGCAGCTAATCTGTCACTGGAGAGAGAGAATTTGAACAAGGTAGGTGGAACGACTTTCTTCAGTTCACATACTTTTCAGTATGTAATTAGGCTCCGTAATAGCATAACAGTATCTATTGATGCATGACGTTTATTCTTTCTTTACGTTTTTCTTGGTTATAAAGAAGTATTTGATCATCGTTTTAAATTTCACTGTTCATGATTGTTTGTGACAATTTTCGGAAGGAGAAGGAGATGGTGGTGAAGGAGCTCGATCACTTAAAAAACATAAATGAATGCCTCAAAGCAAAGGTAAGGCATATTGAAGATTAACTGTCTTGTTTGTGGAAGTATGTTCCGCACTGACACGCCCTTCGAATCACAGGAGGGTAAAATAGAGGCAGAAGAAGCAGAATTTGAAAAAGAGTTGAAGAAGTCGGTTCAAGTATCTATCTCTAAGCCTACAAACATTCTTACTTTCCCTTACAACTACCCTTCTGTTTCGCCTTACCTTTGGCCAGCCATTGTTCCACCTTCAGATAATGCATTCGGGATACAAGGTTCCTCTCACTCTGATATCACAATTTCATCTCAATTTCCTATTCCCTTGCGGGATGGTATATTAGGTTCATTTCAAGATCAAGAACATGCCACTCAGATCAAGAAACAAGGAACTTCCTTGTTAGTAGTGCCCTTACCTCTGTTGTCTCCTTTTCACACAGCGAGTACTACACTTCATTCTATGATAGGTCCCAACAGCAATCCTTCGTGTTCAGAAACTGGGACACATTCTGATCAGAACTATGAGTTAACATCATCCCAGAAAATGAAATCTGAAGCTTCTAACTCTATGGAAAATATCGCTACAAACCACCTTATGCCCTCAAGACAGAGTTTTACAAAATCTGTCACGAGTCCTGGACCGAGTAAAAGTTCCCAGTTATACAACACTAAAGTCGAAGCTGTTCCATCTGCCACTAGATGTGCCGCACAGGACTTATCAGCCAAATACCTCAAACCAGTTATACTCTCTAGTAAGAAGCCTGGAAATGCTAATGCCTCAGCTGTGGCGAGGAGGAGGAGGAAGGAATTGATTAAGCTAAGTAATACTCATTTTCATCACAAGGGATCCCGAGTAATGTTGGAGTAGATCAGGATCCAAATAGGCTGAGGGATGATGTTGCTTATCCGTGAGCACGGCACTTAAATTTCTAGTCAAGGTTTTCTGTTTTGAATCCGTGGAGATCATAGGCATTACTATTCAGGATCATGCATATTTTGGTAGTTATATTCACGGAGAAGTTCAGGTTAGGCACTTTGTGAGCTAGATTACTACTCTGCCGGACCACTTAATTTTGAATGTAACCATGGATTTCATTTGACGATCTCAATATCAAGTGTTTGTGTGCCACTTAATTATCATATAGATCCTAGGATTACTACTGACTTGATTTGATCATGTTAATTTTGCCATTACTTGGTTGCATGAATGTTACTGCTGCATTTTTTGTTGACTATGTCTTTTGATATTACTGAGCTTTTGGGATATGTACATTGTGCTAGCTTGATATTACTGGACTTGATTAAAGAAGAAAGATGTCATTTGTCCTATACGATCCTTTTGAGTCCATGTACCAAACAGGCATTACATGAATTTTTCATTACATCCACTCGGGTGGTGGGAAACTTATTTTTGGGGTGAAGGCTTGTAAAAGCTCGTACTTGTCCTTTACTCAATTCATATTATATTGTATATTGCTCGAACCCTTTCCTTAACTCCGTGAAACCTTTTTCCTGTCATTCAGATTAGTTAGATAATCGAAATCCATTCCAACAAACTCTGTTTCATTGCAATGAAAGTCGGAAAAACCAAGACCATACCCAGAGCTAGTAGGTGGAGGCGCTCTTCCTTGTGTGGTGGGTGGTGGCGGGGATCGGTGGAGGCGCGTGGCTCTTTGGTGGTGGCACGTGACGGCTATTCTCGACGAGTTTTGTACTGGCAGTTTACTTATTTTGATTTCCTGAACGTACTAATATTGTTTGTTTCGTGTTTCAAGTTACGCAGAAAAACTTGGATGATTTTGCCCTGGGGTGCTCGTTTTACAATCATTGGACAATTGCATTGATATATATTTGTTGAATCTTTAGAGCAAATAGTGGTGGCCCTAGAGCAGTAGATTCGCATCTCTAGATTTTACCGACTTTAGATGTGTCCGCTCTGGTAAATTGGCTTATCTTGGTTAAATTTCTATACTAGCGCATCATCGTGTGGGATGACAATAGGATTTGGAGTTACCGTGTGGAGTAACTATTGCTTGTGCTAGAAATTAGGAACATTACTTTGTTTTTTTGATAAGATCCATTTATTATCTTCGTGGTATACTCTGTCTGTGTAGGATTGCTGTGGTTGAAATTGTTTTGTTTGACATTCCTCATTGTCTTAATTTTGTTAGAATACTTAGACCTTACCAGTTTCGAACATTCCCTTGATTTAAGATCGCGAATCTAATGAAATCCTGAAAATTTAGAATGGTGTGTATTGTCTATGACCCTAGGACTATTTTTGTGTGGCTTGATTCGGATTTTGTGCATTTTTTAATCGATTTATAAAAATGACAACTCACAATTTTGATTTGAGAATTTTTAACGGAAAGAGTGACTTTTCTATATGACAACAAAAGATGAGAGGTATTTTGTCCAACAAAAAGTTTCAAAAGTCATTGAAGGCAATTTTTCTGGTGATTTTTTAAAAGAACAAAAAGAAGAAGCTAATGAGCTTGCTTATACTTTAGTTATTTTACACTTGTCCGACGTCATTTTGAGAAAAGTGAGTAAATTGAAAACTACAAAAGAACATTGGAAAAAAATTAGAGGACTTGTATTTGCTCAAATCTACTCCAAACAAGCTTTACTTGCTTGATCATTTTTTTCATTTTTAAAATGGATCGTTCAAAATATTTTGATAACAATTTAGACGTGTTAACAAATTTGTCCAATATATTGTTAACTGTGAAGAGACGATGTCAGAAACCTATAAAGCTATAATTCTGTTTAATTCAATTCCTAACACTTATAGAGAAGTTAAAAATGCGATCAAGTATGATAGGGACACTTTGACACTTGAATTGTCATAGATTCTCTCAAGAGTAAGGAGATGGAGATTAAAGCTGAAAGACAGGATAAGAAAGGCGGTGAGATTCACATGGTAAGGGGTAGAACTCAATTTAAGCAAAATAGCCATGAAGGACTTCATTGTGGTGGCGAGTCAAGTAGTAATTGAAGTAACAAGAAGGGCAAGGATATGTCTAAATCAAAATATAGAACTAAGGTTAGAAAATGTTATGATTGTGGAAACATGAGACATTTTATAAAAGATTGCTATAAGGAGAAAGGTAAGTTGAAGGAAAAAGAAAGAAATAAAGTAAATGTGTTGTCGACTCCCAATATTGATGAGGGTGAAGTGTATATGACTACAAGTCTTCGACACTAGTTTTGCGTATACTTTAAAAGATGTTAGATATATTCTTGAATTGTCCCTAAACTCGATTTCAGTAGGGAGACTTGAAAAGGCCAACTTCGCTAGTAAAATTAGAAATAGAGTTTTAAAATTGATTAAGGGTGCTCTTGTTTCCATTAAGGGAATTAAGAGAAATTATATTTATATTACTATTGGAGAAGTGATAAGGGGTCTAGATTCCCTTATCTATTCTGCTAAGGTCGATTACATACATAAAATGACGCAATAGACTTGTACATATAGTTATTAAGGGTCTTAAACTTCTTAGCGAAAGTGGTGCTTTTGGTAATGATTATGCGTTTCATTTGTCTTTTTGTAATTACTGTGTGCTTGATAAACATTATAGATCTTTCTTCTCCATGAGTTTTCATAAAATTAAAGGCATGCTTGAATATGTGCATTCAGATCTGTGGGGTCCTGCTAGCAATCACAGCTCGGGTGAAAATAGTTATTTCTTGTCTATCATTGATGATTATACAAGAAAAGTGCATGTTTAACTTTTAAAAGATAAGTCTGATACTTTTCATACTTTAATAATTGCACAAGACAAGAAGAAAATCAAATTGGTAAGAGGATTAAATATTTGAGAATAGATAATGGCCTAAAGTTTTATAATACTGAATTTGATAATATTTATAAAGAAAATATAATAACAAGGCATAAAATTGTTCTTTATACTCCCCAACAAAATGGGGATAGTTAAAAGGATGGATAGAACCATACTTGATAAAGTGCGTTGCATGATGATAAGTTTTGGTGTCCCCAAGTCTTTTTGGGTGAAACTGTTATGAGTGCTTGTTATTTGATTAATTTGACTTCATCTACTACATTGAATGGTGATACTCCTCGTGAAAAATGGTTTGATAAACTAATTGATTATTCTATGATTAGAACTTTTGGCTGCGTTGCTCTTTCCCATCAAAGTGAGGGAAAGCTTGAACCTAAAGCTAGAAAATATGTTTTTCTAGGTTACCCTAAGGGCGTTGAGGGTTACAGGTTATGAGATAAAAGCCAAAAAGGGGTTAATGAAAAGTGATGAAAAGTGAACAATCAAAAGAGTGATTTATGTCAATGAAAGAGGAGATGAGCACTTTAGAAAAGAATTCAACTTGGGAATTAGTACTTGGAACTAAGAATAAATCTACTGTTGTTTCTAAGTGGGTTTTTAAGGTTAAGAAGGGCGCACACAAAAGGAAGGTGTTGATGATAATAAATTTTTTTCACATATTGTTAAGTATACTACTATTAGTATTATGCTTGCATTAGTTGTACATTTTGACTGGGAACTTGAATAACTTGATGTAAAAAGTTGTTTTTTTTACATGGTGAACTTGATGAGCAAATCTTTGTGAATCAACCTAAAGGTCTTTAAGATAAACTAAAACCTGATCATGTGTGTTTCTTGAAAAGATTCCTATATAGCTTAAAACAATAATCTAAACAGTGGTATAAAAGATTTGATTCTTTTGTACTCACTATAGCGTTTCAAAGGAGTAAGTTTGACTACTGCCTATGCTTCCAATATGATGATGCAAATAACAATTATGTGTTCTCATTGTATAGATGGATGATATGTTCTTAGTTGGTTCATCGCTTAAATGGATAAGCAAGATAAAAACAAAGTTGAATGGCTAATTTGACATGAAAGCTCTAGGTAAAGCTACAAGAATCTTAGTTATGGAAATTGAAAGAGAAAAGTCAAATTCTATTTTGTTTTTGCATCAATCCTCATATGTTTCAATGTTTCAAAGGTGTTAAAAAATATTTGACATGCAAGAGTGCAAACCTGTTACACTACCTTTAGCTAACCATTTTGTGTTGTCTAAAGTCCAAGTGTCATGTAATGAGAAAAAAATAGGATACATGAGTAAGATTCTATATTCTAATGTGATTGGATCTATCATGTATTTGATGGTTTGCACCAGATTGAATTTAGCCTTTGCGGTTAGTACTCTTAGTAAGTATATGTCTTCTCCAGGTTCTGATCACTAAGAAGCCTTAAAATGGATGCTAAGGTGTTTAAAGGGAACTAATGATGTAGGTCTAAAGTTTGGTGTTAATAAAGGTGTGAAATTAAAAGGGTTTGTAGATGTTGACTATTCGGGGGTTAGAGATAATAGAAAATCTACTTCTTCATATGTGTTTATGTTGTCTAACTCTTGCATTTGTTGAAAGTCACAATTACAATACATAGTTACACTATCCACAATCGAATCAGAATATATTGCTACCAGTGAAGCAATTAAAGAAGCTTTGTAGCTTAGAGGTTTGCTGCATGAACTCTGTGTTCTAGATGATTATGTGTTAGTATATTCGGATAGTCAGTCGTCTATATATCTATGTAAAGATTCTATTTTTCACGAAAGCACCAAGCACATTAATGTTAGACTACATTTCATTAGAGACATCGTGTCAATAGAAGTGGTAAGACTTGATACATACACAATATATATAATCCTTCAGACATGGGCACTAAAGTGCTACCATTGGTGAAACTTAGAAGTTGCAAGAATCTTCTAAACATCAGTGAAGATAACTAATTTTCAATTTTATTGATCCCTTAAGTTGGAAGCATTACTAACAAGTGACAATATTTTCTTTGTAGGTCTTTTGACGCCAATGTAGGGTTAGGCAAATTGTTGTCAAACGACCTCTTGAGCTATAATATAACTCGGGTTTATTTTTCAGTCGGCATAGGCCATATAACTGAATGTTGGATCGACACATAAATTAATTGACCCGACCCATATTGTTTGAGTCATTTGAAACGGCCTAATCTAAATTAGATCTGATCATGGCCCACTTTACTCACCTGGACAGCTATTGAAGGTATCCACCCATTTAATCATGTGTTGTGCTATTGGCCCATTAACCATCCATTCTTTACTTGGTTACATATGATTTTCACTCCTCTGCCTCTTTGTGAGAA